CAGTTTCTTCTTCTGCAGACTCCTCTGTCTGTCTGCAGTTTCTTCTTCTGCAGACTCCTGTTTGTCTGCAGTTTCTTCTTCTGCAGACTCCTGTTCGTCTGCAGTTTCTTCTTCTGCAGACTCCTGTTTGTCTGCAGTTTCTTCTTCTGCAGACTCCTGTCTGTCTGCAGTTTCTTCTTCTGCAGACTCCTGTTTGTCTGAAGTTTCTTCTTCTGCAGATGATGCAAATCGTGCCACAGTTTTCCTTTCCTGTGACGCTGAGGCAGAAGTGACATGTTTTCCAGATGTGTGGCAGATGTTGGTGGCTCTTTGGATGAGTCTTGACGTCTGAGAGTCCTTTAGCGTTAACATTCTCATAATCATAGTATTTGTGCGTAACTATATCTTACCCATGATGCATTGCTCTGCGGGCCTCCCACCATTCACTGCAGTTATAATTTGAGCTCAAACTTTCTAGGACTAAAATTTAAGGGTTTGTGTTTTTGAAAAGTGGTAATTTCAGAGGAACGCTTCTGATTCAAATCATGATTTACTAAACTCTATCGTGAGTTATTTAGCTATACAGTAATTACAGGGATATTTTAAATATTTTTTGATCTCTTGAAACTACAGCTAAAACGTCTGAACTGCTAAATTATATATATACCTCGATTTTAATAACACAGGAAAGTCTTTTTATTTAACTAGTTTATGTCCACAGTAGAAGCTGATTTTATGGGACTGGTCTCCAATAAGCATGGACCAAAGCTTTTGTTAAAGCTGGGGTACCTAACTTTATAGGGTTCTAGTTAGCCCGAAACGTTACTATGTGGTCTGTAAATGAAAGACCCTGCTTGGGAGCAACACAGATGTGCGGATTTTTTCACTGTTTTCAGGTTTTGCACTTTTTGAATGCAGCACGCTAGTCTAGACTACAGGGATGTGCGGCCTTATTTGAATCTAACGTTATCAACAATCGTCTCTCACATGTATGTATTTTCTGTATTTTTCATCTTTGGATCAGCTTTGTTCAGACAGAATGTTGCAGAAAAGCGTGAAGCAATGAGGCATTTTCATATTACATAAAGACTGTTATGGTCTCATGAATGTTTTAAGACTATTTCTGTTGAGATATTCTGTATATCAACATTAATTATTTAGTCAACAAAAAAGTGGCGTACCCCAGCTTTAAAACCTGCACAGAACAATTCCAAAACCAGGATGTAAGATAAGACAAGATAGACTTGAATCTCTCTTGACTTTGGTTTCTATAAGACAGAATGTGGTTCTGCAGCTCTCTGGTACCAGCCCCACAGTTTGAGAACCCTGTCCTATTTAACCGTGCAGCTCGTCACGCTCATGGAGGGAGTGAGGAGAGCGGCGTTATTGCATTTTTCAGTAATCTGCACTTGGTTTTCTTGGTCTAATCTCCGCTCCCTCCTAAAGCTCTCGGCATGTACCGTCCGATATTACTTTTCATACAGGCACAATTATAGTCAGGGCACTTTTTCTTGTCCGCTTTTACCTTCACAGCATTTTATTTTTCATTTTGCTGAAAAAAAGGTTGGTAAGTATTGGCCTTTGCTTAGCACATCGATCACAGAAGCAGGTTTGTGGCAGAAGGTGGAAATGTGAGTTTGTTTGGTGGAGTTGTGTGTTTCCTGCACACACTCTTGTTAGCGCCGGATTCACTCATTTGTTTAAGTTCCCACTTTTACATTTCTGAGGCATGACAAAATGTAAAATGCAGTCTGGCAAAGAGTTTGATTAAAAGGTATTTTTGTGCTTGTAAAATACCCTTAACTTTCTTCATGTTTTTTTTGTCATTCAGAAGTTCAAACCTATTTTTTTGCTTTTTAAAAGTAACTCCTACTCTTTTACACATAAGAAGTCAAATATTTAAAAAACAAAATCAGATCCAAATGAACAAACAATAGGTAGGGTCAGTGGTGGAATCATAAATGTTTCTTTTAGTCTGTTTATTGATTTAGTCTTATTCAAAGAGCGGTAGCATTGTTGTTTTTCTTTTGAAATTACTTTGCAGTTGTCTGAAATCTACTCTAATCAATCATTATCATTAATCAGTGAATTAGATAAAAAAGAATACAATAAAATAGATTTAAAATGCTGAACTATAGTCTGTAGAATTCCCTCCTGCTGTGATTGGTCCCAGTCCCGGTGGCGAATACCCGCACAGAGGTTATAACATGTGTTTTTGTTTCCAGCAGGTCTCTTTGGATTCTAACTCGTCCATGAACTCCAACACGCCTCTGGTGCGGATCGCTCGCCTCTCGTCCAGCGACGGGCCCATGTTGGCCCACGTGTCTGAGCTGGAGCTGCCCTCGGACCCCAAGTGGGAGTTCTCACGCACACGGTACAGACACGCTTGTTACACTATTGTTCATTACACTAAAATAAGGGGCGACAGTAGCTCAGTTGTAGAGCATTGGCCTTTGGGCCTGAAGGTTGTGGGTTCAAGCCCACCACAAGACCTTCTTCATAACTCCCACTGATGACTGCTATCATTGTGTCCTTGGGCAAGACACTTAACCCCACTCTGCCTGAAGCCCCCACTGAAAGATCTCAGCTCCTGTGGACTCAGCAGCTGCAGGAGGATCAGTGAGGGGCTGGTGCTCTGACTGACACCCCCCGACCCAGAAATGTCCCCTTTATCCCCTGTCCTTAGACCGTCTTTGGACAAACAGTTTTGAGATCTTAGAATGGGGACTGACTTAAACACGTTACTCACAATGTTAAGGCAGACATAACATTTGGAATATCTGTTTTCTGATTACATTTGAGGTGTCTGATTCTGTAACAGTGGCATAGAAATTCAGATTCAAATTACTACTTCATATATCCCACCAGCGGCAATTCATCTGAGCAGCACAGGACAAAAACATAAAAAACACAGGAAATGTCCAACAGGAACAAAAGCGATATGATATAAAGTGTATATTTGAATGCATTCTGGAAGATAATAATCCATTAATCCATACAGAAGCAGAAGTAATAAGTCTTGCCTAATTGTCCCAAAAAGAAGACGTAGAGCAGAGGTTCTCATTGAATCTTCTGTCCTTGTGCTTTGAATAATCTGAGAAGAAAGAAGATGCTCCTTTGTGTTTATGTAACATGTGTAATCATGTGTAATAATCTGTAATAATGTGTGATAATGTGTAATAATGTGTGATAATGTGTAATAATCTGTAAAAATCTGTAATCATGTGTAATAATCTGTAATAATGTGTAATAATGTGTGATAATGTGTGATAATGTGTAATAATGTGTAATAATGTGTAATAATGTGTGATAATGTGTAATAATGTGTAATAATGTGTGATAATGTGTGATAATGTGTAATAATGTGTAATAATGTGTGATAATGTGTGATAATGTGTAATAATGTGTAATAATGTGTAATAATGTGTGATAATGTGTAATAATGTGTAATAATGTGTAATAATGTGTGATAATGTGTAATAATGTGTAATAATGTCTAATCATGTTTAATAATGTGTGATAATGTGTGATAATGTGTAATAATGTGTAATAATGTGTAATAATGTGTGATTTCAGGTTGACTCTGGGAAAGCCGCTGGGAGAGGGCTGCTTCGGGCAGGTGGTGATGGCTGAGGCTGTGGGCATCGATAAAGAAAAACCAAACAAACCTCTGACGGTCGCTGCCAAAATGTTGAAAGGTAAATGTTAAACATAAATACAATGTACATTTTTCTTAAATAAACATTGTTTTATCAAATGTGCGTTTTGTCTGATTATAGATGATGCGACGGATAAAGACTTATCGGACCTGGTCTCAGAAATGGAGATGATGAAGATGATCGGGAAACATAAAAATATCATTAATCTTCTGGGAGCGTGTACGCAGGACGGTGGGTTTGCACCAGATACAGTCTACTAGGTTTATGTGGATAGAAAAACTATAGATACAGTGGGGCAAAAAAGTATTTAGTCAGCCACCGATTGTGCCAGTCCTCCCACTTAAAATAATGACCGAGGTCTGTAATGTTCATCATAGGTTCACTTCAACTGTGAGAGACAGAATTTGAAAAAAAAATCCAGGAATTCACATTGTAGGATTTTTAAAGAATTTATTTGTAAATTATGGTGGAAAATAAGTATTTGGTCACTTCAAACAAGGAAGATCTCTGGCTCTCACAGACTTGTAACTTCTTCTTTAAGAAGCTCTTCTGTCCTCCACTCGTTACCTGTATTAATGGCTCCTGTTTGAACTCATCTGTATAAAAGACACCTGTCCACAGCCTCAAACAGTCAGACTCCAAACTCCACTATGGCCAAGACCAAAGAGCTGTCCAAGGACACCAGGAAAAGAATTGTAGACCTGCACCAGACTGGGAAGAGTGAATCTACAATAGGCAAGCAGCTTGGTGTGAACAAATCAACTGTGGGAGCAATTATCAGAAAATGGAAGACATACAAGACCACTGATAATCTCCCTCCATCTGGGGCTCCACGCAAGATCTCATCCCGTGGGGTAAAAATGATCATGAGAACAGTGATCAAATATCCCAGAACCACACGGGGGGACCTGGTGAATGACCTGCAGAGAGCTGGGACCAAAGTAACAAAGGTTACCATCAGTAACACACTACGACGACAGGGAATCAAACCCTGCAGTGCCAGACGTGTCCCCCTGCTGAAGCCAGTGCATGTCCAGGCCCGTCTGAAGTTTGCCAGAGAGCACATGGATGATCCAGGCCCGTCTGAAGTTTGCCAGAGAGCACATGGATGATACAGGCCCGTCTGAAGTTTGCCAGAGAGCACATGGATGATACAGCAGAGGATTGGGAGAATGTCATGTGGTCAGATGAAACCAAAGTACAACTGTTTGGTATAAACTCAACTCGTCGTGTTTGGAGGAAGAAGAATACTGAGTTGGATCCCAAGAACACCATACCTACTGTGAAGCATGGGGGTGGGAACGTCATGCTTTGGGGCTGATTTTCTGCTAAGGGGACAGGACGACTGATCCGTGACAATGATCCATGACAATGATCCCAAACACACCGCCCGGGCAACGAAGGAGTGGCTCCGTAAGAAGCATTTGAAAGTCCTGGAGTGGCCTCGCCAGTCTCCAGACCTCAACCTCATTGAACATCTGTGGAGGGAGTTGAAAGTCCGTGTTCACTGCTCTTGAGAAGATCTGCATGGAGGAATGGGCCAAAATACCAGCTACTGTGTGTGCAAACCTGGTAAAGACCTATAGTAATTGTTTGACCTCTGTTATTACCAACAAAGTTTATATTACAAAGTATTGAGTTGAATTTTTGATATTGACCAAATACTTATTTTCCACCATAATTTACAAATAAATTCTTTAAAAATCCTACAATGTGAATTCCTGGATTTTTTTCACATTCTGTCTCTCACAGTTGAAGTGAACCTATGATGAACATTACAGACCTCTGTCATTAGTTTAAGTGGGAGAACTTCACAATCGGTGGCTGACTAAATACTTTTTTGCCCCACTGTATATAGCTATAGCAGAACTCTCGCATTTAACAGGTTTACCAATAATACCAACAACAACATGTTAAAATGCCACCAGTAGATATCAGACTTATATTAGAATAAGATGCTCATAATAAAGATCACAATAAACAGATTGACTTGTCTCTTATCCATAACTTGTTGTTTTAATATTTATTTTCTGTAGAATATAGATTATTATTATTGTGATAGCCTATTTCAGCCGGCCAATGTAACTTATTATGGTGTTCCATATAAATTTATTCATCACTACGGCAACGAACCTCATCTTTTCATCCGTCAACCAATGAATATATCTAGAAATGGGGTTCTGTTTTTTTTTTACTTATCTAAAAAGACAGAAAACACGAAGCACACACACTCAGACACAGGCCCAAACACTCTCTGACACTACACCTCTCTCCTACCACGTCCTCCACGTACTTCTTTTCTTTTTGAGTTTTGAACAGAATAATATTTGGATGTGTGTCTCCAGGTCCTCTGTACGTTCTGGTGGAGTATGCGTCTAAAGGAAACCTGAGGGAGTACCTGAGAGTACGCAGACCTCCGGGGATGGACTACTCCTTCGACACGTGTAAGATCCCGGACGAGACCCTCACCTTCAAAGACCTGGTGTCCTGTGCCTACCAGGTGGCCCGGGGTATGGAGTACCTGGCCTCCCAGAAGGTCTGTACTATATGGGAATATATCATAAAGTACTAGCTTGAAGATTTTACTTAGAAGAGTAGAAAATACTGACAAAGACAAACTATATTGATCTACATGGAAAAGAATTGGTGTCTGACGGAGGTGGAAAAAGTGCTAATCTTAAAGGTACATAGGATCTACTTCCGGGTGGATCATCAAGACCATTGGTCTTCCTGATTGTCAGTCATTCTGGTGATACGTCCTCGACAAAAAAGACCCTGCGAGTTTTTCAAAAAGTGGAGAGAGCGGTTCTTTCCTAAAATATTTAGAGATTTTATCCTTGTTTCTTCTTCTAGAGTCAGACATTTTTATTTGTATTTGTTTATTTTATTGTTCACTTATCTTGTGCTTTGTGCTCCTCATTCCTACTGTTCTGTAACTGGTGATGCAACACTGACATTTCTCCACTGTGGGATGAATAAAGGATCTCTTAATGACTTGAAATATCTAAAAATTTAATCTGGAAAAAGTTAAAGTGTTGTTCAAATGTAAAAGCTACATGCCAACGATGGACACTCAAAATACACAAAAACTCAACAGTTGTATTAATGATGTATAAATCATATATTTATATATATATATATATATATATATATATATATATATATATATATATATATATATATATATATATATATATATATATATATATATATATATATATATATAAACATATACATGTAAAGTGTGTTTGCTTTTGTGGTCATAATGTTCTGCTAGATTGGTTTCATTATTGTAGTCCTGAGTTCCTATAACATTTATATTGAATGCTCTAACGATGCTTTTGACTTTCCCAGAGTCGAAGCCTCATGTGGAGGTCAGCAGTGTTTTTGTGCTTTTGAAGAGTTGTATTGATGGGTTCGCTTCCCGTTGCAGTGCATCCACAGAGACCTGGCCGCTCGGAATGTCCTTGTGACGGAGGACAACGTGATGAAGATCGCAGACTTCGGACTGGCCAGGGACGTGCACAACATCGACTACTACAAAAAGACCACCAACGTGAGTCCACCACAGGCACAGGGCTCAGAGTTAGCTTTGAACTGTAGCAGAGGACAAATCTGAGCTCGAAATGTAAAGAAATACAAGTTAAACAATATTAACGATGCATTAGCAGCATTATAGAAACACATGTGGATTTTGGAAGGACAGCCCGACTCTTCTCTATACTTCACCAAATCATCACCAAGTAGCAATTTGCCAGTAGTAGTAGTTATAGTACTACTAGTAGCAGTAGTAGTAGTAGTAGTTATAGTACTACTAGTAGCAGTAGTAGTAGTAGAAGTTATAGTACTGTAGTAGTTCTAGTACTACTAGTAAAAACTTGTACAATAGCACCCCTCTGAAAAATAGATTCTCCTGAAAAGAAATTCCAAACTCTCAGTGGGACTTATCTTAAAGATTTCTTCATGGTCACAGAGGTTTTTACAAACGAACTGGGCCAAGTGGCCCGGATCGTCGCCACTAATACTAAGTCCAGCGACGACCTCGTTGTCCTGGTTGAGTTTCTGTTTCTCTTCCTGTAGTTCAGCTACTGTAGCTAACAGCTCGAGTACAGATTGCATTGTTTAGCCCCTCATCTGGGCACGATTGCAACAATCGCGCTCAAGCCCACTTGCCGCAGTCACGTAGCACCTAAAGCCCGGATCTAATCGCCAAGTGGGCCCAGGCACACTTAAACCGGGCTGTAGGCTGTGCATGTGACCACAGCCTTACTGATTTTGATATCAGCATTTTATGTGGTTTTCAACACAACATGCAGAAGGCGTTGTTAGCTAACCCTATTGACCATGTCCCTATTTTCCTTCATAATATTAATCCTAATTCAAAACGCCCTGTTGCACTTAGCAATTATGGGCAAGTTTGCACTTGCACAAAGGCTTTATAAAACTGTGATTAAACTGGAACCAAATTTGGCACATATCTTATACTACATTGGCCAGGGCCGAGTGTACGATTGGCCAAAACCAGGCTCAAAGCAGTGATCAATCTCTGATCCATCTTCATGTCCTGCTGACCCTCTGCTTTTCAGCTCATGTACAGTTCTCACAGCTGTTTTGGCAGAACTAACGTCTGCTGAATGTTCCGTTGTTCCAGGGTCGTCTGCCTGTGAAATGGATGGCTCCAGAGGCACTGTTTGACCGGGTCTACACTCACCAAAGCGACGTGTAAGTTTTCACAGCCCAAATACCTGCTCTCCACTCATGTACGCTCCTTTACAGTGCTGACATGCCGTGACCGAGGACGTTAGCATCAAACCAGTGGCGTGGATGCAAAGCTATGAAGTCCTTCAATATGAAAAATGTCTCCTAATCCTGCTGAATCCTGACTTCATGTGGACATTCCTCTATGCGTTTGTACTTTAAGCTCCAGAATTAACATCAGAGAAAGAGATACAGAGATTTTCAGAGTTTTATCAGTTCAAAACCAAACTGCCAGGGCCATTATAAGGCGGCAGTAGCTCAGTTGGTAGAGCATTGGCCTTTGAGCCAGAAGGTCGTGGGTTCAAGCCCCGCTCAAGACTTTCACCATCGACTCCCACTGACTACTGTCGTTGTGTCCTTGGCAAGACACTTAACCTCTGGGAACACCAGCCACAGTGGGGCGGCTGCGGCTGTAAAGTGCCAAACTGCCGTTGTGTCCTTAGGCAAGACACTTCACCCCCATTGCCTAGAATGAGTCTGGTGTGTGTGTGAATGGTTGGTGGTGGTCGGAGGGGCCGATGGCACATACTGGTTGCCTCGCTTCTGTCAGTGTGCCCCAGGGCAGCTGTGGCTACAGCAGTAGCTTATCACCACCGTGTATGGAGTGAATGAATAATGACACATGTGAAGCGTCTTTGAGTGTCCAGAAAAGCGCTATATAAAACCGATGCATTATTATTATTATTTATTATTATTAACTACAAGGCCTTGAACCCGAGAACTGACAAGCTACTGGTTGCACTAGAAGAAATACTTTATTCATTTTGTTTGATTTATTGCTTTGATATATATTTGATATACTGCAATTATTCCGAGGCAGTTTTCAAGGTCAAGTACCTTACATTGAAACCACAATCAAAGAAACATGCATGTATTATTCGCCTCTGACCCATCATAAATCACAAATTATACCTAAACGTGACTATTTTCTATTGGGACAAACACAAAGTATGTATGAAAGAAACATTAAGTCAACTCCACTTCCCAAACACCACTAAAACTAAACATTTGTGTAATTGGTACACGCTTCACGGCAGCCATTTATTATAAAAAGTCACACACATCTTCTTAACCTTTTGTGTGTGTTTTGACAGCAAGTTAACAGGTCAATATGTCTCATATTAGTGCCCCCCCCCCCCCTTTGTCCCAGACAGAGTCCCATCACAGGGGCCCAACACAAACACAGACCCTGTCAGCAGCAGGACGGCCCGATTAGAGCCGACAGTGTTATTCCAGCAGCTCCCAGTAACACTCATGCTACAGTGGGTTTCTCTCCGAAGGCTCCGGCCCGTCCTGCTCACCATCAGGGAGGCGGCTAATCTCGGCCATAAATTACAGTTTTGAACATTTGATTTGATCATCTTGTGATACCTACAGTAGAATAGAGTGATGTATCTGTCTGCTACTGTTCTTACAATAGATTTAAAAACATTCAAACTTGAGAATCCATCTTTGTACACAAATTAAAATAAACAGTATTAATCTTGGATAAGAGATACATATAAAAACAGCTTATTTCCTTCGGATAAAATAGACAAACAACAAAGTGACAAAATCCATTATTTGAGGCTTTATTTAAATATTTTTATGAAATAAGTGACAAA